TCCTGGAGGCTATGTTGTATTTAGGCATACAAAAAAAAAAAAAAAAAAAAAAAAAAGAATGTGTCATTCCACTCTTAGGCATGTAGTTGATATGAAGAGCATAATACTCCTGCAATGCATCCTACGGAATTTACCCATCCTGAATCACACAAAGATAAATTCTGTAATCAACCTTTACCATCGTGACAATGTGTTCTGTTTTAAATTTATTTATTTTACTTTTGGCTGCGTTGGGTCTTCGTTGCTGCGTGCCGGCTTTTCTCTAGTTGCGGTGAGCCGGGGGGTTACTCTTCGCTGCGATGCGTGGGCTTCTCATTGCCTGATGATGTTTTTTTTTTGCGGTACGCGGGCCTCTCCCTGTTGTGACCTCTCCCGTTGCGGAGCACAGGCTCCGGACGCGCAGGCCCAGCGGCCATGGCCCACGGGCCCAGCCGCTCCGCGGCACGTGGGATCCTCCTGGACCGGGGCACGAACCCGCATCCCCTGCATCGGCAGGTGGACTCCCAACCACTGCGCCACCAGGGAAGCCCCTGATGATGTTTTATAAGACGTTGAATGTGATTACAGGCACTGGCTAGGGTCAATGTGATTCAGCTGTGTACTGATTTGAGATTATCAGCCCCACCTGCCTACAGTTTGCATGTGGCATTTGCTTTGTGGGTTTCAGTGATGCCATCTTCCTTCAATTTTCACTTGTCTAAGTAATATTTGTTGAGAGACAGGGAAAAATTTAGTTTAATAAGTAGTCAGGACCTACAAATTGGGTGAAATTAGATACAGCGAGCCTGCGGCTTGAAAACTATCTGAACTTCATAAAAGGTCCAGGAGCGTGGTAGTTCATTCTAGATAAGAACTAACAACCACAATGTACAAGCGGCTTGGAATGAGGTAGAGGGGGCGAAGGAAGGAAGCAAGCAAACAAAAGAATGCCAAGCACTGAGCAAATTCTTAACTGAGAAAAATCACTACAGAACATATTTTAGTGGCGAGATTTCTTTTGGACCTTCTCAAACTTTTCAGGTTATAGAAGCAAACTGGCAAACATCTCAATACCTATAAGAAAATTTGTATTATCACAGTATCAGTTAACCCTATTTTTTTTTATTTCCAAGTTCTTAATTCATTGATTCAACAAATATTTACACACCAAGCACTTGCTAGATTCTGGGTATACAAGGTTGATCAGCTCCTTGCTTAATGGAAGTTTAGATTATTAGAGCGGCTGACAATAAGCAAATTGTCACATAAGTAAATGGAGCGTTACACACTCATTAAATGCTATAAAGGAAAGCTACACGATGTCTTGGGAGAGTTTAGTCTCCTGAGCACGCCTGGAGAAGGCTTCCCCAGGGAGTGATGAGTGAGAAGGGGTCTGAAGTCAAACGCATCACTGCTCGCAACTTTTAAGATCCTAATGAGATGCAACGTTCAGGATTATAGCATTTCCATGAACATATAATTCAGCACTCACGGAGCCCCTGTATTGGGATTGGTTTCTGGGATAGAGGATTCAGGTGTTGCTAAGTCTTAACCAAGCAGGGTGCCTCTAGCAAAGAACACAGAGCTCTGCTAAAATGTGGCAGTCAAGGAGAAACAGAAAGATTTTACTGGGAATGGATGGTATAATTACCATCCCTGAAGATGAAGCATATAATTCTCTAATCTCTGGTTTTGAAAATGTTGACAAAATCTGGTCTGAATTGCTGTGAATAACCGAAAGCCTTTGAAAGGTAATAATTTCAAAGATGATTATGATTTCAGATCTACTTCCGGAATATATTAATTTCACTTTTCGTTTTAATCCATAGCATGGCAAACATCTGCTGACAACACCTGCTGTCGCCAATCTCTGGAAGGTGCCAGCTGAGTCTAAACAAAACTCTCTGGTTACTTTCCAGAATCCCCCATTCCAGAGCAAACATAATAATCCAGGTAAAGAATCAAATCTAAAATTAGGCCACATCAGAGGCCAGACTAACTCTATCTACCAATCTAAGCAGACATTGGATATATTTTTTCTCTCTTCAGAGAAATGTATTTAGAAAAAGCATTAGGAAAATAATATGGAGAGGAAGCAGAAGCCAGGAAAAAAAAAGTCTACGGCTAGAAGGGATTTAAAGAATCTCTTTCAGGGTTTTCAGTTGGGCTCAAGTCTTGGAAGCCTGTACATGCTGGTGGCAGACTGCTGAGCTGGACCCAGAACGCAGGGGCTTCTGCCTTGCCCCTAGAACTCTGCTCTTACAGACGGGCCTTCCTGCCTGTCATTCTCACAGCAGCTTCCCTAATCTAATGCAAACTAATATATTAACTGCCCCCAGTCAGGCCAGCTACTGTGAGCAGGCTGCTTTAATTGTCCACAGAGACAACTTGGCTAGGATATTTCAGCACCATTTAATAAACTGTCCAGACACTTTCTGTATATTAAATGGAAATGACTTATGACTTGACCTCATGACTTGATGAAGAGCTGGTAAAATATCACCTCTCATAACTGGACTGGCAAAGCTGAGCTTACTCACTATGTAAACATATCTATTTTATTTTCATGGCATTTTATATAAATATTTTACAACAAATGATTAAATATCAAAAAAGTTTATCAACCAGCTTTATCTTGATAACATAATATTAGGGAAAATAAGTATTTCTGTTCTGTAGTATCATGCACAAAAACTCAATGCTAATTGTAACTAAATTCGACGCAGCACAACTACCGATCCTAATGAAAAGGTACAATGCTAATTACAACTCACTTTATCTAGTTATTAAAGCAGAATGCTATATAAACGTTAGGTGGCATTTTCTTAAAATTCTGTATTTATTTCAGACAGCCCCACAAAAACAAATAAAATACACCAATATTTTAAAAGTCAAAATCACATGAATTTTTCAGTATAATTTCAAAAGGAATGAAAATCAATTAAAATTACCTAGTCTAACTAGGTATGTGCCTAATCTTTGAGTACTATTAGACATGAATCTCGAGTCAAAGTCAATTAAGTCAATAAAGTAGGAAATTTGATTCCAATCCTAATTCATAAAATATCTCTATTTCTTGCATGAATAGAATGGAGCTGATAATAGTTATTAACTCTATTACAAGAAAGCACAGGTAAAGACTAGTAGCAAATTGTAAAATCTGTAAGCATTTATAATACAGATGTACATATTATATTATGACTACAGCCACTGGGTTTTTTTTAAAGATTTTTTTGATCTGGACCATTTTTTTTTAAGTCTTTATTGAAGTTTTTACAATAACAGAAGTTATTGCTTCTGTTTTATGTTTTGATTTTTTGGCTGCGAGGCATGTGGGACCTCAGCTCCCCAACCAGGGATCAAACCCACACCCCCTGCATTGGAAGGCGAAGTCTTAACCACTGGACCGCCAGGGAAGTCCCCCAGTCATTGTTTAAATGATGTATTTGGTCCTCCAGGCTTCTGCAGATTTAAAAAATAAATCTGTGTCATCAAAATAGCCACTGGACCAGGGAAGTCCCCCAGTCATTGTTTAAATGATGTATTTGGTCCTCCAGGCTTCTGCAGATTTAAAAAATAAATCTGTGTCATCAAAATAGATTTGAATCTGGAGGCCCTGAAATAATTGCAAAATAATGATAAAGCTACACAATGAAAATTCCAAGGTGTTTTATATATATATATGTATTATTTTCTCTTACTTAACTGCAAGTTATCACACTGAAGTGCAAAGTGGAAGCATTCACAAATCCGCTTTAATTTAAAAAAAATAAAAAAATAAAAAACCCAACCTATCCTGATTCATATAGACAGCTAAAACATCCTTAAATATGAAATCACTTGAATATTTTGCAACACATTTTCAGGAGCACTAAGAATTCAATATACTAGCTTCCCTCAGATACAAAATTGAACACTTCTCTTACCATTTAAAGCTCCATAAAAAGGCAAAGGAGAGATTTCAAATTCAAATAAATAGTATTTCAAAATATGTGTCTATACGTCCTTTGCTAAACAACCAAAAAATGACATGTTAAAAACTCTTAAAGGATATCGCTCACTCATTACTCATAATTCTCACACTCACATTTTTTATGTGCATGGCAAATTTCCAATCCAAAGGATTATGAAAAAACATTAGAACTAAGATCCAAAGTTTACCGTGTTTAAAAGAAGTCATTTTCCTTTTCCTTTTTTTTTTTTTTTTACATGCCACTATAACATTTAGGTCTCCTGCATTTCAGCAGTAAATATTAAACACCAGTTTCCTAGCTTGGCTCATCCTTGAGAAAAGTATTACAGCCAGTCCAGGGGAGAATCCATTTTCTGTTTGAAAAAGGAAACCACATGCTCCAACTGTCTACCACTAGTGGTGGCTTTCTAGAAGAGATAAATTTAACAATCTGAACTCAACAATCATGTATAAACTATCTGTGGGGTAGCATTAGATTACTACTGGCCTTAAAAGAGTTTTCTGACTAAGTTTTCAAGAAACTGAAAAACTTAAAATTCGGACAGAGCTCTTTGCTACACACTGTAACTTGACACTAGACTGAAGAAGTTGACCAAGTTTAAGTAACCCAAGAGGAACTGTTTCCTGCTTTCTGTTAGAGCAGTCTGCAATGACCTGTAGTAACACTGCTGAGACAGAGGTTACTATCGGGCAGTAGATGCCGCTATCAGTAAGTCAGTTAGGTCTTTTTTCTTTCTTTCTTTCTTTTTTAAATTTTTTTGCGTTGTGGCACTGATCTCAAGTGTTTGTAAGAATTCAACCTTACTCTCCCATTGTCTATAAAAATAAGAAAAACTCCAGAAGAGTTGGAAAATGTACCCCAGGCCAACTATGCAGCTCTCTTTTCACCTCAACAAAAGAACTGTGCTATGGAAAACTTCTAAGTTATAACCAACTCACTCTGTATCAAAACAAATTTGCCTGTGAACATCTCTGGGAAGGTGCAGTGGCCCTTCCTAAATGGAATCAAAGGTCTATTTGACATTGGTTTATTTTAGCGTCACTTTACCTAGTCTGCTCCTGTAAGATGAGATGAGGCTCCACGAAGAACTTGACTCTCAGTTTAAGCCGGTAAGGGGCTAGCCCATCCATCTGCTGGGAGATCCGATTTCTCAGATTTAGCCATAAACTTTCACCTTTGCTACCCGTAAACTGCAGTCCAAAATAATCAACTTCTATAATTCCCAATCGCCTGCACACCTAAAACAAAAATGAATGCAGTGTGGATGAGCAAGCGGTCCATGTGGTCAAAGCAAACCCAAAGACTCCATCTGAGTCTAAGATTCCTGCCTATTCTTTTTTTCTTTTAAACAAAGTTCAACAACGGTGTTACAATTCCTGTTGTCAGCTAAAACAACAGAGTTCTAAGGCTCCAGTGACGCGAAACCACTAGATGTATTATAGAGGCACAAAAGGAGTTCTCAAAATGTAGCCTTCCAGAAAGGCTGAGGATGGGAATCCACGGGGTATTTTCCTTTTTATTCCAATCACTGGAATTCCCTCCACTAGCACAATCTGCACAGCTGATTTGGCAGCTTATTATCTGGACAGTTTTAACCATCTGGACTCCAAAAAAGCAAACACACTGAGGAAACACGCCACAAGTGTCAGCTAAGCTTTGCAGGAGGTTTTCCAAACATCTCAGGTCGAGGGGGTTGGAGGGCACAGCGTTTCACTTGAGATCAAATTTTCTGCCACACCACTATGCACTGTTTGGAACCGTTCCTCCTCACTCCTAAGGAAACGCGTGCTTAAAGACAACCGAGGAGTCCACGACCGAAACCTACCGTTCTCTTGTCCCCCGCGAATCGGGAGTTGCAAGGAGGTGCATAAGAAATGCTTCTCCATTTGAGAAGCATCAAGAGACAAGGGCACTGCTTGTCTGCCGAGCAACCCGAGGGACCTGCGACCGCCTCCAGCCACCTCATCCCGGGACGCAGGTGGCGCTGCCGGGCCCCGCGGGGACCCGACCGGAGGCATCATTCACACACCTGAGGCAGGTGTGCTGGGCCTCCTTCTTCCGGGAAAGTCCCGGGCTGGGGGGCAGGGGGGCAGGCCCACCGCGCGTACCCCGCGCCCTCCACCCCCACCCCACCACGCGCCCCCGGCGCGCCACGAAGGGGCCGTGCGCCCCACGGCCTCGTGGAGGAGGGGGCGCAGGCCGGGCGCCTGGGGCGCACTAAGCCCGCCGCCGCCGCTACGCCGCCGGCCCCCGGCAAGCGGCGCGTCCCGGCGCCACAGCGAGGCCCCTCGGCCTCGGGGAACCGGCCTGGACCCCGCGCCTGGTCCCTGGTCCTCACCTGGTTGAGGCAGTCCTCGCCGTTGGCTTTCGCCTCCACCTCCACCTCCATCAGCACCGCGTCCGGCCTCGTCACATAGCACAGCATGGCTGGGGGCGCCGCTGCCGCCACAGCCGCCTCGTCTTTGCTGTGCGCGGGGTTCAGACCCAGTTCCGGGCTCGGCGAGGCTGGCCCTCGGGAGGCTGAAGCACTGCAGACCACTGTCCTGCGACCCGCAGCCGCCGCGCCCTCCCCGCCACCCCCTCTCCAGCCCGCCCGCCAGCTGGCTCTCCAGGTCCCGCGGCGGCGCCGCACTCCAGCAGCCCGACTGCCTGCGCCGCAGCGGGGACTTCTCTGATATAGCGGCCCCGCCCCCTTCGGCTGGGGCCCCCGCCAATCACGGAGGCCCCGCCCCTCCGCCGTCGCCCGACCAGCCAATAGCAGCGGCCGTTCGGCCGCCGCCCGACCTCCCAGAGCCGGCTGAGTTCCCCCGGCTGCCGGGGAGGTGGTAGCTTGCGGGGTCTGAGCGCTGCGCAAGGAGGGAGGCCCTGGAATGCGCTTGCTACCTCTGCTCGCTGGGAGACGCTGCTCCGAGCCAGCGACCGCCCGGGGCTCCCACGTGGGGTCGCCTTTCTGTTGGGCTTGAATTTACAGTGATTAAACGCCTCCAAGCTACTGCTGTTCTTCAGAAGCCTTGGGTCGCTCCAGGAGCGCGTTTGGGGGGTGGGATGGTGGTCGTCGTGGTGAAAGCAGATAGCAAAGAGAGCAACCCCAAAGCCTGAAAAGAAAATGATGATTTCCCTGGGCTTTGCCTCAGTGGGCTGTAGGAAGGCGGAATTTTTGTTCTTTAGTTTAGACCTCGCCATTGAGAAAACAAAATATGAGTATAAAAGTTTTTGCTGTCGTTCAATAAGCCAGGGAGCTTGATCTAGTGTTTTCTCTATGAAACCTCTCCAAAGGCTTCTATTTACCCGTTGTGCAGAATCAAAACCCCGTACGGGCACTAAGGCCCTCTCTCAGGTTGTCCGTCCTATCTCACGTCTTAGCTCATTTTTCATTAAACATTAATGGAGCACCTGCTCCAATGCCAGTCCCTTCTCTCAGGCAACCAGGTGTTATCCTCACCTTCAGAGTAACGAACTTATCTCAGAATCTCAATAGAAAGTCTTAATAATTGAAGGTCTACAACTCTTCCCTCATTTATCACTTGTTTCTCTTAGTCAACGCGTTACTCAGCCTACCTCTGGTTTCTTTATAGAAGACAGAGATGTGGGTTTCAGCTTTGGACCGATGAAAACTGACTTCATCTCTCTGCAGCTCAGTGTTTCAGCAGTTAGATGGAGACCACAATCTCTGCCCCGCCTTTCCCCAGTATTGCTGTGAAGAGCAGCAGAGATAATGTTCATAAAAGCACTTGAGGGCTTCCCTGGTGGCGCAGTGGTTGAGAGTCCGCCTGCTCGATGCAGGGGACACTGGTTCGTGCCCCGGTCCGGGAAGATCCCACATGCCGCGGAGCGGCTGGGCCCATGAGCCATGGCCGCTGAGCCTGCGCGTCGGAGCCTGTGCTCCGTCCGCAACGGGAGAGGCCACAACAGTGAGAGGCCCGCGTACCACAAACAAAACAAAACAAACAAACAAAAAGCACTTGAGTGACCCGGTACATGATATATATATAAGGAAACCTGTAACGTCAGCTCTGTCACTGCCTGCCTATGACTTCTGTCCTTATCCCTTTCCCGAAGTTCCAATTATCTCTGTCCTGGTTGTCTTCATTTCTGAAGAAGTAAGAAGGATATCAGAGCAGAAGACTACTGGTTAGGATCCTCCAATAGTCTTTCACTAAAGCCGACTCTGGCTAAAATGAAACCAAGTCCTAACCACCAGTGTTGCAGACGGGCATGCGCACTCACATCTTTCTTTGTGTCTTTTAAGAATACACCTCATGATATTGCGCTGCTGAAATAGTCCCGTCTTGTATCAGCTCTTGTTCCTCATTCACTTAATTTCAGTTTACTGATCTGGTAAATTTATCTGGGAGATAACATTTGGATAATTATTATCTAATCTCTAGAAATTTTAGATCCGGGAGAAGAGGTGAGGGGCAAGACGGAGGCCAAGTGTATTGGTTAATATTTTTGTTTATTGAGCAACTAAGCTGGCTAAACCAACACCGACTAACCAAAAGTTGGCTAATTTAAGCAAAAGGGAATTTGGTACACAAATTTGGGGAGCTCACAGAATCAGCAGGGGCTAGGCATGAAAATGAATGGAAAGGGAGACATATTGATTGGCCAAGAACAAAAATGCAAAACCAAAAACAAAACCAGCAAACACCAAATATTTGGGATTTTACCAGGGATATTTCTTAATACAAACCCAGATTATGCTTTGGCTATGGGATGGTTGGTAAAGATTCCAGTTGTTTTCGAAATTGAATCACCAGATAAGACTGAAGAGGAGAAGGGATTTCTTAAAACAAAACAATGCTAAACATAGGAAAAAACGGCACTTGGGGAGGGGACAGAAATCATGATGACCAAGAAGAAAAGGAATACTGGCTTCTCTTAGCATATACAGGAAATGGGAGACCCTAATCTACCTCTCTCTTCCTTGTCTTTCTATTTCTTTCCTACTTTCTTCCTTGAGTAGAGAGATGGAGAGACAGGTGGTTACTGGGTGAGAGAGCAGAATTATGTTCAAAGACCTGGTTCGGGAATAGAAAGCCCACAGTAGAATTGCTTCCTAGAGGATTCCACCGTCTGGTAATGCTAGGAAATGCCTGGAGCCAGTTTCAAGCCTCAGCTGGGTCTAACTCCAAAATAAGCCTGCACACCCAGGCCTGGGGGTGGTAACTATATTGGATTGAGCTGTGACTCGCAGTTCCAGATTAGCCAGAGAGGTGCTACAAGTTACTTGTGTCTCCTATCTTACGCTCTCGATTAGCTATCATCTTTTAAAGATAGCATTAAAATTAACCAGCAAAGTAAAAGGATCAGCTGCGTGAAGGTAGATTTTAAAAATAGAAACCATAGTTTAAGTGGCTGTTCAAATACACCCAGACTCCACACTTTTACTCTCTCATATATGAGGGCTCAAGACTGAACACCAGATAATATTTGTAGGATAGGATGTGATGGTCATCTGGCTGCAAATGAAGTCTGATCTGGCTGGCTGGATACCTCTCCATGTGCATTCCTCTCTAAACGCTGCACACGCCACTGCAGAAATCCTGTGCTGGGTCAAAGGAAAGGCCCTTCTCCCTCTTCACCTCTTGAACGTTCATTTGTAAGAGAATAGAATGAAGAATAGTTAGCAACTGCCTAAAAAACTGTCCCTTGGCTTTCACACATTGTTCAAGCTAATTATTCTATCAGCAATGCTTCATCGGGCACAAGTGTTTTACACTGCATGGAGTGAGCTGAAATCTCTCATTTGAAATGTTAGACTTGTGAAATTCAGGAGTAGTTTAATTTGCTGTTGGCCTACCACTAAAGCAGAGCATCTCATTTCCAAAACTGGCTGTCTGAAGAGTCAAAGGAGGAATGGAGAGAGAATAGGCAATGCCCGTGTTACAAACTCTGGAACATATTAAATGGCATTGTCTTAATTAGCAGGCAGTTTAAATGGTTTTTTTTCCTAGTTGTGAGAGTTATGGTAATCTACTTAGAAAAGATTGAAAAGTACAAGGGAAAAACAAAGTACGTGTATTTTATCAGGCATTTCCAGTTAGTATTGATGTTTTACTTTTGTACTTTGCATGCAACGTGCTCTAAATTTTGATTCTGATATAATCAAATACTGCATATGAACTTCTGGATAAGTATCAAGAGAGCAAGAGACACTTGCCATGGGAGTTCCAAATCTAAACCTAGTGTTACGAATATTAGGAAACTTATAAACAATTATAAACAGAAAGAACAACCTCCATGAAAAAATTCCAACTATTACTGTTTCTCAGCTTTCTTCTTTTTTTTTTCAAATTTTCTGAAATATTACCATTTTCTCTGTTTTCCTTCTTACTCCTAGTATGCCCTGATATGTCACACTTCATGACATGTTTACTTCTTTGGCATGTATCATTTAGTTGAGAGATGCTCAGATCTGGGAAATAATTTCCAATTTGGCAGGTTTTGTGTAGCAACAAAACTATTTTGTGTAATACTTTAATACCTGTCTTCTATTTATGGAGATGATCAATGATCAGGCAGTTGCTTCTCAGGTCTGGTGATATGCAAGTGTTATTCCACCCACAACAAGGTGTACAATCATTCTGATCTTGAATGAGGTTGGGTAGATAGATGCTAAGGATGCAGCTGGGAGCCATGGCACAGAGGACAGACCCAGTGTGCCCGAGGCTCAAAGTCACAAACCTGTCCTAATTGGTAGGTGTTCTAACCAGTTGCTCTGTAATGACACCCCCCTTCCCTGCCCCTCACACCATGTCTGAGCATACCTTTCTGTAAAAAAGGGGTCAGCATGATATATTGTGTGTGGGGGGGGGTGACACAGAACTTAGTGGGGGTGGCCACTCTCAAAATCAGTGGCTCATGAGATAGTACCAACTTTCCAGGGATAAAACAACTGTTAGAAATGCTATAGAAATAGCGAAAGGACATGAATTCAGTTATGTACTTTGGAAGAACCACAAGCTCTTATTAAACAAGGTAATGAAAACTGAGTGCTTCGGGGTGAAGCAACTTCTCACTAAGCTTCAATCACACCACCTCTCCCCAGCTCACTTACTGTGCCTGACATTTGCATACATTATAGCACTTGATATGCAAATCTTACCCCTGCTTCAGTTATTCAATATTTTGTCCTTGCTGTGATTTTAGAGATCGTGATGATTTGAAAATGACTTGAAAACAAAGGTTTACTTTCTCCCTGGCAATCTCTCAGTAGCTATAAGTACCCAGCATCCTCTGTCCATTGCTTTTTCCTCCCTCTTCTCTCCCCTGGTTCAGAATTCCTGGGAGAGGTTGGCAAGAAGCCATCTGCATCCATGGATGAGGGAAAGCAACCTTGTCTCTCCCTACGTGCTTTGATGGATCTGAACCTCAGACCCTAGCCCTCCATCAGAGCCGTTTTAGCTACCAGAGCCCAGGGACACAGCAGTCATTAGGTGGGGGTTGTGGGAATTTCTCAGGTTGGCTCAAGCAAAAGATGCTGCCCTTCCTAAGGCCCAGACTTCCAGGAGAAGGAGAGTCTGAGCACGTGCAACCCAGTGGTTGGTATGAATCTGTTGCCCACCAAGAGTTAGGCCTAGATGGGCACTGTGAAGCCCAGAGAGCAAACCAGGTCTTGTCCTGACCTTAGTTTTTATG